GAGGAGTGGCTGGTGGGTTTGAACCCCCAGCCTTCTGGTTAGCAGTCAAGTGCCTTAGCCACTATGCTACCAATTAACTTACATACTATCTTAACCCCAAACCAAAACCAAGCTTACTGCCATCGAGTTGATTCCAACTCATAGTGACCCCCTTTGGGTTTCTGAGGCGGTGAATCTTTATGGAGTAGATTGCCCAGTCTTCCTTCCATGGGAGTGGCTGGTGGGTTTGAACTGCCAACCTTCTGGTTAGCAATCAAATGCCTTAGGCACTACGCCAACAGAGCTCCTTATCCTAACCCCAGATGAAGAAAATATTTTGATATATTTCCTTCTTATCCTTTTTAAAGTTTGCATGTGTGTGTATATATGTAATATGTATACATGTACACATACATATATACACATATATCATTTTTAGGCAGCTGTGTGTGTTATACGTTTTGTGCTAACCGACCCCCCTTGCACATTATCTTCGTAAGCATGGTATGCACATAATATCTATAGGCATGTTATTGATATTTGCAAAAAACATGGTATATATGTTGTCTTCGTTCTCCAGTGCTGCTGTAACAGAAATAACACTAGTGGATGGCTTTAACAAACTAATTTATTCTTTCACAGTTTAGGTGTCTAGAAGTCCAAATTCAGAGCACTGGCTCTAGGGGAAGCCTCTCTCTGTCTCTTGGTCCTAGGAGGAACCCACAGCGGGGACTCTGGGTCCAAAGGACAGGCAACGCTCCTAGGTCTTCTTTCTTGGTGGCAGTAGGTCCACCACCCCCACACCCACCCCTGCTAGCTCCTCTCTCCTTTTATCTTTTGTAAGATGAAAGATGTTGTAGGCTACACCCCAGGGAAAGTCCCCAGGGCTCAGGGTTGTGATAAAATTAAAGGTGTGCATCCCACCCTGATCCTCTTGTAACTAATTACTTTATCACATCAGAGCACATCATGGGGAATCATATATAACTGCTTTGTTACATCATGACATAACTGCCAAACCACTGAGAATCATGGCCCAGCCAAATTGGCACATGTTTCTGGGGACACAATTTAATCTATGACATATATGTATACTTTCCCCCCTACACTTAGAATAATACTATATGTAATTTTATATCTTGCCTTATTTAATATTATAGCATTATTACTTTCTTGTGTCATCAATATTGTTCAAAACCATGATTTTTAGTGCCCTGGTAACCCTGTGTTGTAACGTGAGCATTGACTGTCATATTGTGCTTTGAGTGAAACACTGCTAATACTACCACGTGAGGTCATGGAAGAGAAGTACCACTTCATCTTGCTCTTCTCCTTAACTGCTTCATACCTGTGCTGCCATCCTAGTATGTGTCCTTTCTGGCCATCCTGAACTTCTGTGATATAAACTTGGAAGCTTTCCTCTCCCTAATTTTTGTTTCTTGATTTTATTTTTTTAAATAACATCTTTATTGAGATAGAATTCACTTACCATAAGATTTAGTTTGCTTTTTTAGAAAGCATTTAAAGTGCATAATTCAGTGGGTTTTAGTATAGTCACAGAGTTGTACAACCACTAAGTTTAGAACATTTTCATCATCCCCAAAAGAAACCCTACACCCATTGTTGTTGTTGTTGTTGTTATGTGCCGTCGCGTCGGACCGGACTCATAGCGACCCCTCCTTGGGTTTCCGAGGCAGTATCAATCACTACGGAAGTAGATTGCCCCATCTTCCTTCTGAGGAGTGGCTGGTGGTTTTGAACTGCCAGCCTTCTGGTTAGCAGTCAAGTGCCTTAGGCACTATGCTACCAGAGCTACCCATTAGCAGTTCTCATTTCTCCCCAACCCTCCCATTCCTAGGCAACTACCAGTCTACTTTCTGCTTCTAGATTTGCCTGTTCTAGACATTTCATACATATGGAACCACATACATGGTATGTGGCCTTTTGTAACTTCCTTCTTTCACCAGGAGCTCTGGTGGCGTAATGCCAAAGGCATTTTACTGCTAATCAGAAGGCTGGTGGTTCAAACCCACCAGCCACTCTTTAGAAGAAAGATTGGGCAATCTACTCCTGTAGAGATACCACCTTGGAAACCCAAGAAGGGCTCACTGTAAGTCAGAATCGACTCGATGGTAGTGGTTTGGTTTGGTTTTCTTTCACTTAGGCTTTTCAAGGTTCATCCATGTGGTAGCATATATCAGTTATTGCATTCTTTCTTGCAAAAAGGGTGTGGGGGCAGCATCTGACCTCTAACTTCACAAGGAAGGAGGAGATCAAGATGAACATTAATGGTTCAAGGCTGATTCCTATGAGGCAGAGGTCAGACATGCCTCTACCCTCCAACCTTTTTACCAATTCTGACATTCTTTACCCACTGCACTGTGTTCTTTTCTGCTGGATTCAGTACTTCATTGCAGTGGCCACACAGAACTCATAGACAAAACTCACAATTATGGGGTTTATTAGGAAAGTAGCAGGTTACAATTCAGGATCAGAATTCAGGTAGAGTTCTTCGATCAGCACAGCTTCTTCTCAGCTGTGCTGTAGGCACACTTCTCTCTGGCCTTGGCCCCTGCCCTGCTCGGGGAAGTGTTACAAAACTCTTTTAGCTTTGCAGATAGGTGCCTAGAGAGGCATCCCACTGCACATTAAACCTCCTTCCTGAAGGCACTTAACATTCTTGTTCTGTGGGCCAGGAAGCCTGCTGCTCTCTGTCTCATGCCAATCTCTTGGTTCTGTTGCTGCTATTTCTCTGCTGCTGCTTCTTGCCATTTTGGTGCCACAGCTCTCAGTCTCCTGGACTGAGGAAGTTCAGGGCAGGGATCTCAGATCCAAAGGATGTGCTCCTCTCCTGGCTCTTCTTTCTTGATGGTAGTGAGAACTCCCTTTCTGGGATGGCTCATTTTAAACCTAGTGAGATTGTAAAACTGACCAATCCCCACGTTAGGGTTCCATACCCCTTACTGGCGTGGTCCCACCCCCACAAAGGTGCCATGTACATAATTTATAGTATTAGCAAATTCTCCAATCCCTTTGGTGGGCCACAAGCACCTCATATTTGCGTAGTCCCAAACAGTCATCTGGTGGGAGTCACAAAGACCATGGCTAGAAGGGACATACCAAGTAATTCACTGTACCATTCTTTTTATGGGTGATTAATATTCCATTCTATGGATATACCACACTTTGTTTATCCATTGATCTGTTGATATACATTTGATTTGTTTATGCTTTTTGGTTATGATGAATAATTCTGCTGTGGATATTCATGTATAAGTTTTTATGTGAATATGTTTTCAGTTCTCTTGGATGTAGAACTGCTGGGTCGTATGGTAACTCTGTGTGGTGAAATGAGTTACTTTATGTGGCCTTTTGCCTTGGTTCTTTGGAAAAATAGCTTGAGAGATTTTTCTCTAAGTCCTGAGGAGTTACTGTGGTAGTTCAGTTTGTGTGTCAACTTGGCTTGGCCTGGTTGAGTGGCTGTGCAACTGGATGTAGTATTCCCCATGATGAGACTAGTAATCAACTCCATGGTGGAATCTACTGTGAGCAGTTGAGTAGCTGCCTTAGGGAATGTGGTCTGCTTCCTGTATATAAGCAGAAGCCTTGGGGAATGGTCTCTAGCATAGTGGTAGACTTGGACCCTGCATGTAGCCATGTCATCGTTCAGCAGCCTGCCATGCTCTGCCGACCTTGGGACTTAAAATGGACTTGAATTAATGGCCTGCCGTGTGGTTTGGTAACATCGAGACTGTGCCTTTTTACTTGTTAACCTTCGGTTTGTTAGCCTCAGCAGCCAGTAGCTGCCTGAGTGAAGAGATGCCTCTAGTTTCAGTGGGCCGGGAGCAGGAGGCAGAGCTACAACTCAAGGTTGAGGGGCACTTGGAAATTGGACTTAAAGCCTCCAAATTGTAGGAATAAACTCCTATTTGTTAAGGCCATCCCATTTGTGGTATATTCTTGTCAGAGTGGTACTAGGTAACCAGAACAGTTACCTTTGCCCTAGTTTTCTACCCTAGAGGGTTTGTTACTTTGGTTTAGGTTGATTGACATTTCCTGGATTATAAACAACTTGGTTTTATAAATTTATTTGGTTCTGGGTGGCAGCCTGCCCTGTGATTGGTATACAGCTTGCAGGGATTGGTCAATAAACTATGCCTATGGGGTGGATTATAGCCCAGCCACGCCTACTATGCAAATGAAGTATCTGTGGCCTACTGAGAGATGATTGGTCAGTTTGTGGCCCTGCTGGGAGGGGCCATGTCTTGAAATTGACAAGGGGGGGCTGTGTGCGTGCGTGCACAAACATGCATGCATGTGTATGCACATGCATAGCCAGCCCTGCAGAGGTTAGAGCTGACAGAAGCAAGAAGAGAAGCAGCAGAGAGAGAGAAGAGGCAAGGAACCTCTGAAAAGAGCTGTAACACCAGTCAAGGGCTGTAACACTGAAGACAGTGAGAGGCTTGCAAGAGGCCTAATAGCAGAACCAGCAGCAATAGGCCCAGAGGGGCCCCAGCAACAGAACCAGTAGTGATAGGCTCATATGGGGCCCAGTAGCAGAGTTGGCAGTGACGACAGCAGGGCCTAGAGGAGCATGTCCTAAGGGGGCCCAGAGGAGCTGAGAGAGCTGTCTTGCACTGAAGATGGGAGACTGCCTACATGCTTCCTAATCCTGATTCCTGAGCTAGGAGTTGTACCCTGTTCCTTAATAAATCACTTAACTGTAAATATGGTCTGTGAATTCTGTTTGGCCATTGCAACAGATTATCAAACCCAGCAGAGAAACAGAGAAACAGAGAAACTGAGGGAGAGATGGATGGTGTCAGAATTGCCAAAAAGGTTTGGCAAGTGGAGGTATGTCTGACCTCTGCCTCATAGAGATCAGCCTTGGGCTGATCTTAATTTTCATCATTCCCCCTCGTGAAGTTAGGTTCTGATGCTATGACTACTGCTCCCACCATTTTACACTGTTTAATGTTTTGATAAACAACCACAGTGGCTGTACTATTTTACATTCCTACTAGCAGTGTATGTTGTTGTTGTTATGTGCTGTCGAGTCAGACCCGACCATAGTGACCCCTCCTTGGGTTTCCAAGACAGTATCACTATGAAAGTAGATTGCCCCATCTTCCTTCCGAGGAGTGACTGGTAGGTTTGAACTGCCACCCTTCTGGTTAGCAGTCAAGTGCCTTAGGCACTACGCTACCAGAGCTCCTTAGCAGTGTATAAGGATTCTAATTTCTGTACATCCTCACCAACACTTGTTATTGGTTTCTTCTTATTATTATAGCCAACCTAGTGTATGTAAAGTGGGATCTCACTGTGGTTTTGATTTACATTTGCCTAGTGACAAATAGGGAGCTCTGGTGGTGTAGTGCCTAAGGCATTTGACTGCTAACGAGAAGGCTGGTGGTTCAAACCCACCAGCCCCTCCTTGGACAGAAGGTTGGGCAATCTACTTCCGTAGTGATACTGCCTCAAAAACCCAAAGAGGGGTCGCTATGAGTCGGGTCCAACTCAATGGCACATAACAACAACAACAACAGTGACAAATGGGGAGCTCTGGTGGTGTAGTGCCTAAGGCATTTGACTGCTAACCAGAAGGTTGGCGGTTCAAACCCACCAGCCACTACTCAGAAGGAAGATTGGGCAATCTACTTCTGTAGTGATACCACCTTGGAAACCCAAGGGAGGGTCGCTATGAGTTGGATCAACTCGATGGCAGTGCGTTTGGTTTTTTTGGTTTGGTGACTGATGATATAGAGCATCTTTTAATGTGCTTATTTACCATTTGTGTATCTTCTTTGGGGAAATGTCTATTCAGATTCTTTGCCCATTGTTTAATTGGATTGTTTATCTTTTTTTATAACTGAGCTGTAAGGGTTCTTTATATATTCTGGATACTAGATACTTACCAGATAGACGATTTACACATATTTGCTCCTATCTTGTGGGTTGTCTTATTTTTCTGATGGTATTCTTTGAATCACGAAGGATTTTTATTTTGATGGAGCCTAGTTGATCAATTTTTTTCTTGTATTTTTTGTGCTTTGGGCGCTGCCCATGATTTTATTTTTAGTACAGTAAGTTTGGGCTTGACTAACAAAAGGTTGATGGTTCAAATCCACCCAGTGGTGCTGCAGAAAGAAGGCCCAGTGATCTGCTGCCGTAAGATTACAGCCATTGAAAATCCTGTAGAGTGCAGTTCTGCTCCAATACACTATGAGTTGCCATGAACTGGAATCAGCTGGACAGCAACAGGTTACATGAATTGGGAATTTTTAAGTGTCCTAGAATTAACCACTGATTTGACAGCATGACCTCTGTACTTCACACTTGGATTTTTCTGGTGATTTTCAACTTCTGACCTATGTTTTTGACTTTCAGGTTTATGTCACTACTTGTGTATTTCTTTGATGTCTGTTGTCAATTTTGTTTTATAGGGTGTCGTCCCAACTGCGCAGCGTGCTGCCATTGTTGTGGGAGTAGAACTTCCAGTCTATGATATTACAAAAAAGCATTTAATATTGTCAGGGATGTTGGGAGACACAATTTTAACCCACTTTGTGTAAGTAAAATTCTATATTTTCAGCATGTTGAGCACAAAAAGCCTCTTTTGCTGAAGGCTGCATGTGAAATTGATGAATGGTATTTCTGCCCTAAATACCCCGTCTCTCCTATTACCAGAATTTCAGTCCTCTGACAGATGTGCATTTCAGAGGCCCTGGATGCTATGGACACTTTAGTACTTAAGGGCAGCATGTAATGCAGCAGCTTACCAGATGTCTGTAGGATTTGTACCTATTTATTCACAGTCTCTATATATCTAATAAACACATCTTTTATTTGCTTTGGCCTTATTTTGGATCTGAAAAGAAACTTTTCTCAATGGGAATCAGAAAAAATAGTGAAACATTGTAGGGCCCATAAAACTAAACCATACTACATTTTATTCCTTTTGCAACCTTACTGGTATTTTAATTTTCAAATGCATTTGGCATATGATGCTGTGCTTTGAAAAATGTGTGTATTTAAGAGATGATGTCTGACACTTCCTGCTTGAAGATCTTGTTAGGCTTATAAAGTGAGTTTCTTACTGAAAAGTGAAGGGGAAAACTTTTGAATAGTGTCTCTTTAGAAAAGACTTCTTTCCTCTTTAGGTTATAAAGAAAGAGCAAGTGCCAGGTTTTATCTGATGGGTCTGAGTAACTATGCATTTATTTACATTTGGCCTAATTTCTTTTTCAGTAGGTGGGGTGGGGGAAGTGGGAGAAATCTATCTTCTTAAAGTTTTCATCTTTAGTTCCAGCTTTACATGTGGCTTGGCTGGGGCTCTGGCCTCTAACCCAGTTGATGTGGTGAGAACTCGCATGATGAACCAGAGGGCAATTGTGGGACACGTGGACCTCTACAAAGGCACTTTGGATGGAATTTTAAAGGTATGCATGCTATGGACTTGGGTTGGATTTTTTGTTTTCTTCTATGTCTCAGACTTTTCAGTCCATAATCGCTACAAATCATTCTGAAGATGGAAGAATCATTTTGTGTGTTTTCAGTAGCCTCTCAGAGTTATTCACAAGCAGAAAAGCTGTTGGCTTGGCAATTTGCTGATGCACCAATGGTCCTTAACGTTGTTATTGCAAATGGAATGCTTGGGAAGGCAGGATACTTTTGTTAATAGGATCTTGTAGAATTATCAACAGAAAGACTTAGTAGATCCTGTATTTGCCTACTTCAGACCAGCGACTCTATAATAGAAAACCTAGTATTGTTTTCCACTCAAGGTTGTTGTGCTGTTATTCACACCTTGCTTTGAAAGTTTCTGCTATGTTATGTTTGTAGCAGGGCTTCCAACTGGTTCATTCTGGTTCAACCCACTGCTAAGAATTTGCCTTTCCACCCCAAATATACTGAATTAGAATCTACATTTCAACAAGATCTCTAGGTGATTCTTATAGATCTTTTTATGTATACATAAGAATCACCCCTGGGATCTTGTTAAAATGTAGATTCTGATGCAGTGTATCTAGGGTGGAAAGGCAAATTCTTTGAGGAAAGGAGGGAAGAGGCAAACCAGAATGAACCTATTCGAAGCCCTGGTGTGTAGGAAGCTGAATATCTTAAATGTATTATATAATCACTGCTCAAAAAAATAACAGGCTAAAAAAATCATTTCCATATGGTTTCTTTGCTGTTACTAGTTTAGTTTAACAACTGTTTATTATATACCAGGCACCAGTATAGTAGATACAGAGAAATTATAGGGTGTATAAATAGATCATCAGTACAAACTGGTAACTCATAAAATCAGGGTTCTGTGGGAGGAAATTTTAGCTCAATTTGAGAATTTGGGATAGGTTCCCGTAGATAACGGCATTTTGAATATCGGAAGTTTACATCTTTTGCAACCTTTGTTGTGTATCAGGAATTCTCCTACTGTGACTTACGTTTAATCCTCATCGTTACTCACCATTAAAGGTGGATGCTTGAAGCACTGAGAAATTAATCTGCCCAAGGTTTCACAACTATTAAGTGGCAGAGCTGGGATTTAAACTCAGACCATTGGCTTCACCACTACATTCTTAACCTCTACATTATGGCACCTTCCTCATGTTGGTGGCTAAGAGTTAGATAGGTTATAAAGGATACTTATTATATGCTATGATCAAGATTGGAGGTAGACTCATGAGCAGCCTGTGATATGCAGATGACACAACCTTGCTTGCTGAAAGTGAAGATGACTTGAAGCACTTACTGATGAAGATCAAAGACTGCAGCCTTCATTATGGATTATGCCTCAAAATAAAGAAAACAAAAATCCTGACAACTGGACTGTTCTGGTCACCTAGTACCATTCTGACAAGAATATACCACAAATCGGATGGCCTTAACAAACAGGAGTTTATTGTCTTACAGTTCAGGAGGCTAGAAGTCCGAGTTCAATGTGCCAGGCTCTAGGGGTTGTGTGAAAGCCCCTTGACTTTGGGCTTCAGCTCCGCCTCTTGCTCCTGGCACACTGAAGCCAGAGACATCTCTTCACTCAGGCAGCTACTGGCTGCTGAGGCTAACAAGCCCAAGGTCGACAAATAAAATGGCACAGTCCCAGTGTTACCAAACCACACGGCAGGCCATTAATTCAAGTCCATTGTAAGTCCCAAGGTCCGCAGAGAATGGCAGGCTGCTGAACAACGACACAGCTACGTGTAGGGTTCAAGGTGCCATAAACTAGAGCCCGTTCCCCAAGGCTTCTCCTTATATACAGGAAGCAGATCACATCCCTAAGGCAGCTTCACAGCTGCTCACAGTAGATTCCACCATGGAGTGAATTACCAGTCTTACCATGGGGAATACTACATCCAGCTGCCCAGCTACTCAACCAGGCCCAGCCAAGTTGACACACAGACTTAACCACCACATGGACCAATAAGTAACAATGATAAATGGAGAAAAGATTGAAGTTGTCAAGCATTTAATTTTACTTGTATTCACAATCAACCCCCATAGAAACAGCAGTCAAGAAATCAGACAATGTGTATTTTGCACTGGGCAAATCTGCTGCATAAAATCTTAGTAAAGTGTCAAAGAGCAAAGATGTCACTTTAAAAACTAAGGTGTGCCTGACCCAACCCATGGTATTTTCAATAGCTTCGTATGCATGTGAATGCTGGACAATGAATAACGAAGACTGAAGAAGAATTGATGCATTTGAATTGTGGTGCTGGTAGAGAATACTGAAAATACAATGAATTCCTGGAAAAACTAACAAATCTTTCCTGGAAAAGTCCAGCCAGAATGCTCCTTAGAAGTGAAAATGGCCAGACTTCATCTCACTTACTTTGGCCATGTTGTGAGAAGGGACCAGTCCCTGGAGAAGAATATCATGCTTGGTAAAGTGGAGGGTCAGCAAAAAAGGGGAAGGCGCTCCACAAGATGGATTGACACGGTGGCTGCAGCGATGGGTTCAAGCATAGAGAGGATTGTGAGGATGGCGCAGGACTGGGCAGTGTTTCGTTCTATTGTACACAGGGTCACTATGACTCAGAGCTGACTCCATGGCACCTAACAACAATAACATGCTGAGGTACTTGGACTCTTTTTTTTATTTTTTAATTGATGGAAAGCTAATGAAAGATTTTAGTCAGGTCAGATTTGCATTTTAAATAGATCAGTCTGGAGTTGTAGAGAATGGTGCTAAGACAGTGATTCTCAGCCTTGGGTGCACCACCTGGGGAACTTTTACAGCTCCCTTGTCTGCCTTAGACCAATTAATTGAGAACCTCTTAGGCCAGGTATTAGTATTTTTAAAGCTCCCTAGGTGGTTGCACGGTGAAAGGTTGGGCAATCTACTTCCGTAGTGATACTGTCTCGGCAACCCAAGGAGGGGTTGCTATGAGTTGGGTCTGACTCGACGGCACATAACAACAACAACAACAACAGGTGGTTGCAATGTTCACTTAAGGTTGATAACTGCTCACCTACAGGGATAAACCTACAGCAGTGGTTCTTAAACTCTGGCATGTATTAGAAACACTTTGAGGGCTTTTTAAAATGCAAATGGTGGGCCCCGAGATTTTGATTAAGTGGGTCAGGATTGGAACTTGAGAATTTGCCTTTCCCCACTTTCCCAGGCAATACTGATGGTAGTAATCTGGGGACTACACTTTGAGAACCACTGGCCTAGAGATGGGGAAACTGATTAGAAGGCTCTTCCAAAAAACCCAAACCAAACTCACTGCTGTCAAGTCTAATCTGACTCATAGTGACCCCTCCTTGGGTTTCTGAGGCGGTATCTCTATGGAAGTAGATTGCCCAGTCTTCCTTCCAAGGAATGGCTGGTGGGTTTGAAC